GTTGTCGACACGACAAGAAGAAGAATAATGACGATTGATACTTATGAACTAATTGTTACTGTTGGTATTCCAAGATGAGACTTCTTTAATTCTATCTGATGCTGATTTTTGGAGGTTATTTATTGTTTCTTTAAATCTTTTAAAAATGTTATAATAATATTTCTAGTGTCTTTCTACGAACGTCTAGACGCGTCTGTTTCGTTCCGATTACGCTATTTTTTCTACTACCCTAACAGCTGGTACGGGTGATGGTGAAGGGTGCGTAGCCCCTAGGGATCAATTACCTAAGGCATTTTTCGGAATCCATTACGAGATATTATGTAAATATCTTATTAAACGTAGAGAGTCTACTGCCTATCTATGTTCTGGATACTCGCACGATCATCATTAAACTAAATTGCTAATTTTCGATCAGAATCGTAATTGATTTGTAAAGCTTTCATGTTAAATTAAGGCTTAGGATAAATTGTATAAATACTAGAGTTTTGCTTTTTCAATTGATTACACTTTAAATTGGGTGTCTGATTTAAAAATAAACTATGGTTTAAAGTTAAATCGCCTTTAAATCTTTATAATGTAAGTCAAAATTCTTTATAATAATAACTGATTTTTATCTAATTATACATACATTTAATGTCTTAGATTAGCAGCAAAACGATTCTCTGTACCTGAGCCAGATAATGTACCATAATCAATATCGAAAAAGTAGCAAACTGTTTCCACAGCAAAGCACTTCTTGTTATGATTCAAACATAGTAATATATCAAACGTGACTTGTCAAGATCTAGCGGGTTCATGAAAAACGAAAGATTATCCGTTAAGTCTTAGCGTAAACACGGATGTGTTACGAAAACGCGTAACACCGAAGTGGATATGTTACGGTTAATGTGATAAATTGAAAATTATTAATAATAACCGGTTATTATGAATAATTACCGACAGTCGCGGTAAAAGTGATAAATTAATCACATTTAACAGTGATTATTTAATAATTCAACCTTAGTACTAACAAATTTCATAAAAGAAAACAACATTTTGTGTACGTGCTCGTGTATAGCCAAAGTTTTGAACGTTTTGATATCATATATTAATATAATTTGGCATAATGCGTTTGGAATGTTTCTTGCATAATATTACTTTTCCATGATGCCTATAACATAATGTTTTGATTTAAAGTGAAAAATAGGTTAAAGTAAGCCGCCTATTTAGTTTTATACACACATTAATAACCTCATATTATTCACATTTACCAAATCATGCGGTAATTATTCATAATAACCGGCGATTATTCATAATTTTCACATTTATCACTTTGACCGTAACAGATATACCAGTAAATATCCCATTGATTCCAACTAAGCACTTCGGTTAACCGATACTACTCGTAGTCCATAAATCATACATCCGTTATTCCTTCCATATGCAAAACCACACTCTTATTAATTTATGTACCACGCACTTATCGGATTAATTTTGAAATGTGTAAACATTCGTCTGTGCCAGTCGTATTTTGTGTCGGCCGCAGAGATCGCAGATACGAAAACCAATCCGAATTTGCAAGCCCTTGTCGTTCTGCCCATAACGTGGTAGGAGGCCTTGCGGAATTAAATTCTCCGACAAAACTATTCGATCCAAAAATAGACCTTAATACTACATTAGATAAAGCTTCAATCCAGACAGCAGGGATGGGATACGTGTGTGCAGTTTGCGATCACCCGCTGCGCTCACTCGGCGGAAACACAACAAATCATTTACTGGACCCACCTCCAATAATGATGCTTGCATTGCATATAAATTGATTTTTACAATTGTTTGCGAGAGCGTCAATCAAAATGTGAATGTTTAACTTTCCTATTATAGTCAATACTATTAATCAATGTATTATCTCGCTTAATCATAATGTAAAATTTATACTTTGATGTTTACGGATTTGGATAAGGTGCGACAGTAAACATGTTAAATCAAGCGATAATCCCTAACTTATCAACGATCGTTCTTCAAATCTCCAAAATATTGCATTCAATTTAAATATTGACATATCTCTTCAAAATTATGCAACGAAAACGTCAGATTAGAAAGCTCATTTAAATAGTCATATCACAAATAGGTTAACAGCAGATTTACAAAAACGAGATGTAGGTAGCCGGCAAAGCGGTTAAAAATAATAAAGTAGTCTATTCACGTCTAATGATTCTAATCCTGAATTCACGGCTTTATTTTCATAATTAAGTCTGATATTTATTAGTGGAATCAACGGTGTTCGCATTCTATGGCGATGTTTAGCCAACAAAGATGAAAAGGCGCTATAAAATTTCGCCATTTCCCCTTTGTGAGGGCAATTAGGCTAATGAAGTGGGAGTCCGGCGCGAATGAATGGGTCGGTTCAGCGTTCTTCGCATTCACCCACCTTTCATGTGGGTAATTTGCTGATGGTACCTTCTATGGGTTACTTGAATTAGTTGAAAGCAGCGGTCCGTTTATAGAGGCGGGTGGTGGAATATTTTCTTTTGAGGGAAGAATCTTGGGTTTGAAGAAATGTGCAGATGATGAGAATGGTATTGAGCACTGTAATGAGATAATCAAAAGAAACGATTTTGAATATCATAAAAGACAACTAATGACAAAGGGTTGATAATTCAAAGCCGGCAAATAAATCTTCATAAGAACCTTAAAGGCGATAAATCAAAACACAAG